TCACACGGTGTTCCCATCAGATTTGACCTAAACTACGAGTGCATTGGTGGTCGAACGCAAGTGGCTTCTTTATAGTTTCCAAAGTTCTAGAATACAAGTCAGTTTTCCATAGGCTTGTATTGTGACACCATCGCAACGAGATTGAACCTCTTTGACCCATTTAGCTATACTAGGTGGTGCCCCCGGTCCCCCTTGAGAGCTACTCCTACCAGGTTGGTCAATGGTTAGAGGTCAGACATATTCTCCTAGTCCTCCAGGTTGGGGCTTTGAAGTTGGATGGCGTCCATTTCTGCAAAACTAAATCATTGACACCTTCCCGCTGTCTTGCGGACTAGCTTTTGAGTCAAAAGCTTTGGTTGAGGTCCCTAATCCTCCTTCTGTCTAGGTCTTGGTGCCCTGGCATTATCTCAGCCCACATACAGTCATGACTATTTCCTCAAACGTTAATTGCATATTGCATCGGCCGTCGCTCAAATTATCAAGGGTCGCCTTATTTGCTGCATACATCAGGGTGGATAGGCGAAAACATACTACTGCTGGCTCCTCCCTTCTTTCTTCTCCACCTGTCTCTTACTCCCATCCCGACCCTCCTTTCTTCTATTGTTCCCAATTTATTTGACAACAGCCGTAATGCCACTGCATTTCTGCCATCTGCAGCTACCATCCCGCACCACCCACCGGATGCCTATCGGCAACGGTCTCTTATAAGGCCACACTGTCCCCTTTCCTTGACGGCATTCAGTGTTCGCACTTTAAGACAAATAGGTCAACAGGCTGTACTCGCACGCACCTTAGACGCGCTCAGTATTGACATATGTTGCATATCTGAAAGTAGGATCAATAACTCTCAAGAAGTTGTTGAATTAACTGCACTCGACTTGTCCTCTCGTTATTGGTTGCACGCATCTGGAGCCCCTGATTCGGCGGCCTCTCGTCAAGCTGGGTAGGTATCGTACTCAGCTCCAAGGCTAAATAATCATTAGTTGATTGGATTACAGTGAACAGCAGTTTATGTGCATCCCGTTTGATGACATTGACCAAGGTTGATTCACTAAGTAGTACAAGACGCTGTTTGCTTGTGGATTCCGCTTACGCTCCCACCGACTGCAGTTCTCATGCTGCCAAGGACACATTCTACAACGAACTGAGCACGCCACTACACAGTACCACCAGTTCAGATATCATAATGCTGGGGATATGAACCCACAAGTAGTGTGTCTGAACTCTTCAGAAGCTCAGCTAGGTGGTAATTATGGGCTTGACTTCGAACAGACTGACAGCGGTGGGCATCTACTGCAACTGTGTGCTGAGCACCAGTTGTTTCTCAGTAGCACTACTTTCAGACACACTAGGCGCCGAAGTGCCACTTGGCGTCCTCCAGTAGCTGGCCAGCAATGGACCCAAATTAATCACATTGCCATCAGTTACAGATGGCGTGGTTTCATCCTGGATTTTCGCTCGTTCTGGAATACGTGCGTCGACTCTGACCATGCCTTGGTACGCTGTCGTTTTTCCATTACCTATACCAGGTGTCGTACCAAGCGTCTCCCTCGATTGGTAACTGAGATGTTCTCTCAGTCCTCGATCAGGCAAGCCTCCCAGGATTCCCTGTGTACCGGAATTTTGCTCTGTTGTCCTTATGACACTGATTTTCAGTGGAATAGGATCTCGGCCGCCATACACGACGTAGGGGCCTCTGGTTGTGTCACTATCAATCGTCACCACACCAGTCACTGGATATCCGAGTGGTCGCTGAACCTGTTTGAATCCAGAAGAGAACTCTCGATTGACTCTGAGCACAATGTAACTAGACGGACTATTAGGCACGAACTGAAGCGGAGGCTGCGTGCTGACAAGGAAGCCTGGTGGACCAGTCGGGTTCGAGAAATGGAGTAAGCAGGAGCAGTAGGCAATTATCGCAAGCTCTTCCAGTTGATCCGCACCACTGGTCCGAGGAAACCAGGCGTCAGTTAGACGATCAGAGAGCGTGGGTGCCATGGTTCACAATAAGTAGCGTCGTATGGCTCGTTGGCGGAACAGTTTCGAGGGCAGTTCCGTTGTCCCTTTGCTTTCGTACTTCTTGCTACTCAGGTGATGCAGGATGAGCCATGGCCAGTCAGTTTAGAGACTCCATCGAAGGCCGAGATCCGGAAAGCAACCACAGCCCTCAATCGTTTTCGTGCTGCTGACCCGAATTCCCTGTCACATACACTATTTAAGCATTGTAGTGAGGTCCTCTGCAAAGAACGTCAGTTCTTTGCACTGTTCAAATATGTATGGCAGAAGCAAACCTTCTCGGCTAACTGGAGTGAATCGATCCTAGCGGCAATATACATGAAGCGCAATCCCACCGACTGTGCTAACCACATAGGTATTGGCCTAACGCCCGTAGTGACAAAATAACTGGCCTCAATTCTCATTCGTTGCCTCATTGCGGAACGGGAATCCCGGATTATGGAAGAGCAGGGAGATTTCCTCCCAGCACGGGGCTCTATTGAACACATATTCACGCTGCGGTAGGTGTTAGAGCAGCACCATGCATGCCGCAGGCCGACAATTGTTGTGTTCCTCGATTTCAGAAGTGCGTTCGACTCAGTCGATCGATACATTCTGTTCGAAATACTTGTGCGGAAAGATGTTCCCATGAGATATGTGAACATCTTGCGTGCTTTATACCCGGACAAAAAGCCGCGTCAGGGTTTAGTGTGATTTGTCAGATGCCTTTCCGACAATAAGTGGCGTTCGTCAGGGTTGTCCGATTTCCCCATTTTTGTTTAATTTCGTCGTGGATTCCACCATGCATTGTTCCCTTGCGGAATCCCACGATGCAGGCGTTGAGGTGCTACCTTTTAAAAGGCTAGTTTGTTGTGATTATGCACACGATATCGTCTTGCTGTTTAACGATGTTGGAGCGGCGCAATTAACCCTGAGTAACCTATGTAGAGTGATTCGATTATTTGGTATGCGCTTCGCACCTTCAAATTGCAGTGTTGCTGCAAGACCATCAGCCACTTGAGGATTCCTTGACCCTTGATATCCAGGAACTCGAGGTAGTGGATCCATTCACTTAAAAACTGTATCAGCAACGATGGGTGTATAGCTACTGGGGTCAGTTCACGTATTGCAAAATCCAGAACTGCCGTTTTAACTCTGCGACATCTTTGGCGACAGAAAGGAGTTTCCTCCGTTATGTAGGCCTTGCTTACAAAGCCACAATGAGTGCCGCCCTACGCTATGGATGTGAGATTCGTCCCTTTCGGTCTGAAGATCTGAGGCGCCTTCAACTCATCACTTTCTGCGGAGCATTGCCGGTGTCGGGTCCCACCGGCATGTCGCAACGATGATGTGCGTAATCGAGCACTAGGCGGTGGTACTCAAGCTAGTTCCTTAGAACAACAGGTAGCACTGAGTAAGTTGCGTTGACTTAGGCACGTACTGTACATGTCCGGTCATCGCTTACCGAGGAGGGCGTTGTTTAGTCTGCCAGATGTAGGGTGGCGCAAGGCTTGAGGTGGACAGAAGCTGACTTTGCATCTGGGAATGAGGTCACTGACGACCAAACTTGGCGCAGTCTGTCCCTCTTGCCTTCCGGGATGGAGTCCACGTGACTCGCCTTTTGCTTGGCTCGAGACTTTATAGGACATGGCTCACAACCGACACCATTAGCGCGTCTGCTGTCATCTCCTAATCGGACTGTCTAACGTGTGTTGGCTGCTGTGTTATCTGCGGAGTAATGGCTGATTATGACGCGGGGAAGTGAAAGCCGCAAGGAAGCTGTCTCGCCGATGGCGCCTTATCTTTGCTCGATAGGCAACTGTTTGTGACGGTATGTTGTCTACACAAGGTGTAGGCGCATTGACCCTGAATGTTTGCTTAGGGCATTAAGGTTTTCAGGTAAGTCCCCCTTCTCTCCCTCTTGTTATCTTTCATTCCGTCGGTCGTTATGGTTGTATGGCATCGAAGCATCAGTTCAAATGGCTGATGTGTTGCTGTTGATGATGATGTATTGTGACAACGTTTCGCCCTTGACACAACAACTTCGTGTCTGGTGAGCTAGTACAGATTTGGCTTGGCATATTTTAGCAATTAGCAGAATGACAGTGTGATAACCCGGGTCAGTGAAAAAACTTGGTTACAGGTTCAAAGGGTCAAGAGGTCATTGTGGTGGAAAAATGAACATGGAACTATCCTAATTGATCCGTGTACACTGGGTCATTCACATGTGGGGCATTGATAATGTTGCTCTTGGCTTTAGTGTGTTGATAGTTCGACGTTTCCGCTTTAACCGATTTGCATGCTAAAACTGGAAATTGTGATATCCCGGTGGGTTCCAAGTTTGTTCCAAGATATTAAATGGCTTCTTTATATCTTTCTATCTCGATCCCATGGTCCACGTTCCACAGTGTGTTTTAGGCTCTTCATGCTGAGCGAGATGTCACACCGGGGGCATAAGGGGCAAGGATTATCGAAGTTGCCTCCAACTTCTTCTCTGTGATTTGATTAAGGAAACCCGTCGATTGATCGGCGTCTTACTGGAAAATAATCGACCGGTCGCCGAAACTTACGCGCTTGCGTTATAGCCCGGAGGTCACCAGTTCGAATTCGCGCAAATGCGGGTGGCCTTGCTGTACACGCAACCCCCCGAGCAACTGTGTTTGGTCACGTGGCATGGACGCATCGGCAACTTGTGCTAGCGTATTACTGATGTCTCTCTTTTTTGCTTTCTGAAATCACTCCTTATCTTGCACCATTTCCTGTGGACACAAATTGAGAATTCGCGGGAGCGTTTTTGTGTGACTTTTCCTTTTTTTCACAGCGACCTGCTGCCCCCTTCAACTTATTGCACAGTATCCAAGCAATGACATTACTGAGGCCTGATTACCAATTTGCTGTTCTGGTTTTCCTTATCTGCATATCATATAAAGTGTCGTTTTCTTTACCATTCGCGCTTTATCTACCGCTTATTTCTACCCTCTTCGCCTGGATATTCATTCGTTTAGCTTAAGCTGCTCTTGGATGCTCGCGAACAGGCTGACCTTCGTCGGCTTGAACGGTACAAACAGGCATTGGCAAGCGCCACTTGCATTCAGGATCAGTTGCGCTCGCAGTTGGAACGCTTGAAAGAGTGTAAACCTGAAGCTCCGCTAGATGAAGCAACAAGACGACAAAACGAGTACGTACTGATCACCACTCATAAAGCCTGTTTTGGTTAACGTCATTTCATTGCCTCATGTGTCGTCACTTCAACTGTTTGCCGATAACACTGTTTGTGGTGTGTGGTTGGGAGAGCATTCTTTCACGAGCTGTTAGTCTTATGCATCCAAGCCTCCAAGCAGCAGCTACAGCATAATATTCTCTGACTTGTCTGATAGATAACAGATTTGCTTGCTTGCCTGGTGCCTTTCCGCTTCTCACCGTAATGGTATCTGGTTGATTCTCTCTGGTCTCCAAATATATATATATACATATATATATATATATATATATATATATTGAAAACTACCAATAGTACAATTGGTATAGTACCACAACGTACGGGAAATATAATTAACAAACGAAGGGAGAGGAAAAACGGTGTTCATGGAAATAAAGTCGTCACAAATCCGCCATTGCGGACGTGTTTTGCCATATCCGAAAGTGTTTCCAGCCATGCGTGTTCCGGATCCTTCCCACCCCAGCAGGAAGCGGAGTGCGCTAGACCACGACTAACTTTGACGTTAGCTCCTTCACGCTCCTAGCCCAAATCATACTTTGGCCAACTTGCTTTCGCTTCCAGCCGACTACTGCACGCACGAAGAGGGCACGGCGAGTAAGCAAGCCATTGAAGTCTGCGCAGAGAAATTATACTGCTCAGTGGCCGGCGAAGTCTGTCTGATCTGAAAATCCTTCGTCGAATATCTTCATTCCTAGTGTGATGTTGCCATCGTACACCAACAATGCTCTGAAGACAGCGGTGATCGAAAACAGACAGCCTTTCAACATCCTTTGCGCGAACAGGCCAAGTCTCGCAGCCATAGAGCAGAACCGCTCTCACTGTGGCATTGTAAACTCGGCCCTTCAGAGATAGACTCAGATCGCCTCGACGCCAGAGATGACGGAGATTGGCAAAAGCAACCCAAGCCTCGGAGACGCACAAAAAGACCTCATCCATTAAACCATTAGCGTTAAGGCAGCTTCCGAAGTAAACGAACTTGCGTGCCACTTCCGATGAATGACCTGAAATGGTAAGGGTAGGAGCAACGCCTAGCCAGTTCTACCGGAAGACTTTGCACTTCAATGGTGCGAAGGTCATTCTAAACCTGGAGACATACACCAACCTGCACAAGACATTTTGAGCTGCTTGTGAGGAATCACAGATTGCGGCGATGTCATCTGCATGCCACAACTCGAAGTCGGTCCTCCGGAAGCAGGTCGACGCCGCTAGGTTCGCAGTTCTTCCGAGCACTCCAATATTTCGTCCTTGACGAAATTGAACAAGAAGGGAGATGCTAGGCAACTTTATCTTACGCCTCTGGTGATACCAAAATGGGGCGAAAGTCCGCCATACACCCGCATTCGGCCCGAGGTTTGAGAGTAGACGGCTTGAAGTAAGGTGACATACTTCTCGGGCACTCCCCTTCTCAGTAGACAACTCCGGAAAACAGCTCTATCAAATGAGTAAAACGCAGAGCTCGTGTGTTTAAGAAGACAAGATCGTTGGCTGGCCAAATGTTTGACGACGCTTGAGTATTTGGCGGAGTGTAAAAATGTGATCGATGCAACTCCGACCTGAGCTGAACCTAACTTGCTCACGTATGCTCTGTTTACGTACCAGGCTTAGCCTCCTCAAAAACAGAGCTGCGAGCACCTTGGAAGCAACACAGATGAGACTAATCTCTGTGGTTGGCGCGGTCAGTTCAGGTACCCTTTTTGGAGACGGGCACGATATCCGCTAAAGTCCAATCAGATGGGATAACTTCAGTGACTCAGATCACTTGGAGGAGAGAAGTTAACTCCTGAACAAATGATGAGCCGCCATCTTTTGTAAGAGCCTGAGGGAGTTCGTCTGGGCCAGATGGTTTTTGACGCTTTAAGAGGCGAAGCTCATGGGCAACCTCGGCCTCAGATGGTGGTGAAGCGTCTACACCCGAGGCAACACTCTGGATTCCAGAGTAGGAACTCATCGGTGCTACTGGCCAATTAAACTGCTGATCAAAATGCTCGGCCCAACGCTCGAGTCGGCGTTTTTGACATTGGTTTCGCATAAAACGGCTTACATTCCCTCTTTTGCTTCTGCTAGATCGGATCAGGAGGAAAAGCTTACAGAAATTCCCCGTGGTGGCCGCTTGTTCCATCTCAATGACCCGCTGTGTCCACCAGGCCTCGCGATTTTCGCGGAGAAGCTGTTTGGGATCAGCGTTAATAGTCTTGCGTAGTGAGTGGTATTTAATGCTAGTAGGGATTGCTCGACGGGCTTCGAGAAGTTGGATGGGTCGTGCAGAGATCCAGTGATTGACAGGACTACTGGTGAAACCAGAGACCAGAGTTGTACATGGTGCCGCGGATGTGTATCCAGTATGTTTCAATGTGTACGCATGAAACCGTACTCAGCCTTGAGGTTAAAGCATCCTGAAATGTGAGGAGAATGTTCGAGGCAGAAAGCTTAGCCACGTCAAGCCGTTTCTGGCGACGATGCTGGAAGCCACCAAAACGTATAGTGATCTTGGCACACACCAGCGCGTGATCCGAAGTGAGGTAGGTACTCCATATTGATTTGCAATCTTGTGTACATCCCCCTGAGCGATAGCTAATGGCGATGTGGTCAATTTGTGTCTATGGCTTGCCAGATGGTGCGCTGGCGCCTTGGTCCCCGAAAGCTAGTGCTCGACAGTAAAAGGTCGTGATCTGCGCAGACACGAAGTCTGTGATGACCGTTGTCTGTTCTGCGAATACCATGGCCCTGTTTACCACCAAGTTCACGTTTATCAAGTCTACTGACCTACGCTTTCAAGTCCGCGACCAGCACCAGAATGTCGGTGCGGCGCTTTTCACGGAAAAGGTCGGTGAGTTGACCGTAGAACTCGACCCTAATTGACTCCGGGCTGCAATCTGTGGGAGCGTATGCTGCGACAATGAATAGACAGCGTCTGCTGACTTTGCGCCTGGACAGTCACACTGAGGTTTCAAGTCGGATCGCGCAGACTCGACGGTTGACAGGGATCCAGTCTAGTAGCGCGGCCTCAGCGCGTGCACTCAACACAATCCCCATAGCAGCATAAGCAGCGGCTTCGACGGTTGAGTCTCGCGATAGGCGCAAAGGGAAAATGCCAGTAGAATTCGCAGACAGTGAAACTGGTCGTAGCGTCGTGCTAAAGTCCTGTATACGGGTCTCGCTGAGACAGCAAACATCGATGGCCGTAGTTTCTGGAGTGTGAGCAAGGGCTGCCTGTGATCCCATCTGCATCAGCGTCCGATCATTGAAGGTTGCCAGCTTGAATTGGGAACGGGGCGCTAGAAATGGCTTGTCAACACGACTTGGCGCATCTTAGGACCTAGGCTCCTACTCCGTATGGCGAGAAGGTTCGCCCAAGGCGGCACGATGTTGTGAACTCGTAAACGGATGGGGAAGATCACGAATGGCAGGGTTACACAAATGTGGAATAAATTGATTAAGCTGTGATGCGGTAAAACGTGCTTTGGCAGGTTCGGGCGCCAGCACCTCGGCCGAGGAGAGCAGTTCCAGTGAGTGAGGGCAGTTAGAGCGAGAGCGAGCGAAGAGTTGTTGAAACATGGATCCATCGGTTGTGTGGGATGATGTTTCCCGGTCACAGGCCAAAGAAGAGGGTTGACTTAGGTGACCCCACCCGGAGCCTTGGGTCATGAAAGACCTAACCCGCAAGGCAGCGTGGCGGTTGATATATACTGCGAACCGTTGGGGGCCGGCTATCTAGGTGAGGGTAAAACGGCTTTCGAGTAGTAGCAAACTACCAAGGGCTCCCAAAGAGCCCGAGTGAAGCAGCAAGGAGGCCAGGATTCCCTGGACTACCGGAGTCCCCACGAAGCACGAAGGACGTTGACAGGCAAGTGACTCATGCGCCTTCGTAGAAGCCGGTGGCCATCGAGGTTGTTCATTCGCCCTCCGTTAGATACTCATTTCTGTAATCAGAAGTAAATGCACAGTGACCCTATAGCCGGTCACAGTGGCTTTGACACAGCGTTTTACGAGCTCTTGTAATATTTAATGGGGAACCAGGTGTCCAGCCCAGAACCCCCCACGCTCTAGGACGCTGCCGCTGATTGTCCGCGACTGCTTATCCATCTCTCTGCGAACAGCCGTTACTTATTCACAGTTACCTTTGCAAGATAGGCATTCCCCGATCCGCAACCTGGGGACGCGCCCGGTGGCGTACAGCTCCGCCGAACCAACCAGTGATTGCTTTACTTCCGAGTACCGTGTCGCGGCACCGGTTCGGCGTAACTCGTGGGATTTTCGGTACACTTTTTACGTCTACGCATAACCCCTGTGGACGGGTGGGTTTCGCATCGCACTCTGCTGTGTGTGAGTTACCACGCTAGCACTCGATCCACCAAAGTTAACCTCATCAGCTCCTTCTTCGCAGGCATTTCAATCTGTGTCTCAGTCATTTCATGTATTTCTCTTAATATCAAACAGAGCGTGCTTCATGTTGCTTACAACTGCTTTTGTTGACAGCGGATGCTTTTCTCCATCGATGGTTGTGACCCCAATTAACTTCCGAATGCGAACAATTTTATTACTCTGGCCATTGGTGGTGATCCTGTGGCCAACAATCGGTCGATTATTGTTTGGGTAAACTTGCCTCCACTTTCCTCCGGTTTAGACGTCAGGTATTGTTTACCCCGTTTCCAACCGAGTTTTGTGCCCCACATAACTGGCTCTGCAGCCATTCATCACTTTGTCCTAGTAACCGGGACATGTGTTGTGTTGGTGTTGAATCCCTCAGCAGGTGCATCGTTGATGTGATAGACGGAAGTTCATCCTCACTGCTTGCTCTCGTTAACGTGGCTTTGGTCCGTTTTGCATGTTGACCTTGTCTCCAGTCAACGGAAAGGCGTTGGTTCCACTGCAGCACCACACCTCTCGCGATCCTCATGCCGATTTCCCCGCGGTCTTCACACTTTAATGAGACCTCCGTGTGCTGCTCATTTGACTCT